GGGGACGGCTAATGATGGTTTTGTAGAGGGTACAACAAACAAAACAAATCAAACTCCGTGGCCTTTATTCCACAAGCGAACTATATCGACCGAGCGACCACCGCTTGTCGGCGAAGTTAATGCCAACTTTAGAGGACAGAGGGTATCGTGTGGTCAGCGTATTTCCACGGCTGTTATCTCGGTTTTACAGACCGAAGCCCCTACTTTTCCATTCAAGTAGCTCCTCAATTGTCCTCACGAGGCTGAGTGGACCCCTTTCCAGACCAACTACTTCACAAAAAAATCTGGTAGTGCCGGGACCTATGGATCTGTAACCAAGAATTCTGACCACTAAACCACAGAGACGGAGCGTACAAGTGGATGAAATATGAAGGTTGGACTAAGAGTGGAACTGCTGAAAATGGAGGTATGTCGATAGCTTAGTGTGCTAGTGAGAATACTGGTTTTGGAATAAATTGTACAAGTAAATTATGCAGTCCCGATTTATGGCGCGAAGCAAGATATCTCAGACTGATAACAAGATTTAAAAAACCATTTTCAGAATGTATCTGCATACTGCCCGTGTGCTGAAGTTGTGGTCTGTACCGTCCCTAGACGACCTACATTATCCCGCCACACGTTCACCGTTGTTTCCATAAGAGAAATAATCTATTAAAGTTGGAGTGGCCACTGGTCCAAATGTACTCCTCGGAAATTCCTTTTTGGCCACTCCGGTCTATATTCTTCCCTCTGAGTCTCATACCCCCATCAAAGAACAATCAAAATCTACGTCTTCAGCCTTTTAGACAGAAACGGCTGCTCACTCCCATTCATCCAAGCAGGTAAACACGCAAGGCAGTTTTAAAAGTGTCCTATGACATGTTTCAGACAAATTTTGGAACATGTAATATGAAGAGGTATACTGAAGGGTACGTCATCGGAATGGAGTATCCCAAGGGGTTCCCTAGTCTGGGGCCGGGTAGACCAACGGAAAAACAACATGCGTTCTGATATCAACTCTGATAATGACTTAGAACTGGAGAGATCCTTTGGAAACACTTCTTTTTTTTTTATTGCTAGTGGGATGGGACTGAGTCCCTTGTACTATGGCAAAGTCCGTATAGGTAAACATTTGTCTGATAATTTCCCTATCCAGAATGGTCTAAAACATGGAGATGCTTTATTCTCAATCGTTTCAACTCTGCTTTAGAATATGCCATTAGGAGGGTCCAGGAAAGCCAGGTGGGACTGAAATTAAATGGGACGTCAGCTGTTGATCTATGCTGAAGACGTGAATCTACTGGGTGATAATGTAGATACCATAAAGAAAAACACACAAACTTTAATTCACGCAAGTAAGGCGTTTGATCTAGAAGTAAACACAGAAAAAAAAACTAAGTATATGTTGCTGTCTCGTCATCAAAATGCAGGGCAAAATCATAACATAAAGATAGGTAACAGATGTTTTGAAACTGTGACACGGTTCAGATATTTGGGAACGACGATAACAAATCAAAACCTGATTCAGGAGGAAATTAAGAGGAGATTAACTCGGGTAATGTTTGCTATCATTCAGTCGAGAACCTTTTGTCTTCCCGTCTGCTGTCCCAAAACATAAAAATTAGAATATACAAAACTATAATTTTGCTTGGGGGCACGCGGTAGCGTAGTTGGTTGAGGCACTATGCTACAAGCCGGAAGGTCGCGGGTTCAAGTCCCGATGAGGTCACTGGATTTTTTCAATTGACCTAATCCTTCCAGCTGCACTATAGCCCTGGGGTCGACTCAACCTCTAAGAGAAATGAGTACCAGGAACATTCTTGCAATATTCTTGGGGGTAAAGGGGGGCCGGTGCGTAAGGCTGACAACCTTACCGCCATCTATGAGCCGACTGTCTAGAAAATGTGGAAACCTCAACATCTCACAACCCTATGGGCATCCACGGCCTGATACAGGGATACCTTTATTTTTTTTACTTTACAATTTTGTTTGTGGTTTTGTATGGGTGTGAAGCTTGGTCTCTCATATTAAGGGAGGAACAGAGACTGAGGGTGTTTGAGAACAGGGTGTTGAGAAGAATAGTTGGACCGAGGAGTGATGAAGTGGCAGGATGTTGGAGAAAACTGCATAATGAGGGGCTTTTGACTGATGATGTGTGTGACCTTTTGTGATTCATGGATCCACTTACTTAAGCGCTTTTGAACCTTGAATCCACAAATTGTCTTGTGGAGGACACAAAAGATTTACAAAGACCAGAAGGTTGCAAAAATGTTACTTGAACTTCAGTTTCATTGATATGCAACACGCGTAGATATTATTGCCATTATATTTACAAGTTATAAGCTCCATGATGCATGTTGTCCAACAATTTTTACGTTTTGTATTCAGATGGTTGGTTCTGAGAATACTTTAGTACAAGTTTCGGTATTTGAAACAGGAATGATTGAATGTATTATTTTTCAGTATCCAGATGCATTTGTGCTTTCCTGAACCACTCTTCAGGCGTCATTGTTTCTTTATTATGGTCTTCATTGGTACAATACTTGAAGATTACAGTGGGAATATTTAATGCACACCGATCATTAAGTTGCTTCAGTATCATGATCTACTGCTCATAGAGGTTTTGCAAACTTGTTATCTTACTAGTCTTTCAATTGTTCCCCAATTCCATCCCATGCACCTTTTCCATGTGATGTTGCAAATAATTTTCACACAGTGGTCATACCAGAAGTTTCTTTATGATAGCTTAGATTAATGAAATTTTTCCTATTTGTATTCCGAGAAGGAACATCATCAGGAGAATAGTAAATCTTTAATATGTGTTTGAATTTATCGCAGAGGAATCTGCACAGTTTGCTTTGAAATATACAGCTTAGATGTATTGTTTTAAACGTTATATGTAACAATGAAACTAAATATATTCTGTCTTTTCATTTTTTTAGTAATACACTGCATACATATGAATAACTGCATGTTCACTGTTCCAGTAAAAGCCTGTCTTGTAAGATGAAGGTGCAGTTGTTGGAAAGATGACAAATAATAGTAATTTCTACAGCTCCTAGTTTCAGCTTTGGTTTGGAGAGGATGTATCCATAATTACCAGTGGCATTCCTCAAAGTTTATGAAGTTTCTTTTTTTAATGGGTATAATGGAGCGCAAAATCTGTGTAGAGGTTTATGGGAGACATAGAGAAGCCGGTTTATGGCCTTATGCAGATCTGGATTTGCTATGAATCAGTATGGCTGGAAACCAGAATTTTCCAACATCAGTGGAAATCCCCACTCTCAGATTTCAACAGAATATGTGAAGTGATTTATGGAATATATGGAAAAGTTCATGGAAGACCTTATGTAAACTAGACTCCATTATGAATCAGTATGACAGAAAATCTTAATTTCCTTACAGCATTGGGTGGAAGTCTCCCATATCAGATTGCAATACGTTTACCCAGAATTTTAAGAAAAATTCTAGAATGGTTAACAAGGTCACAGACAGATAGACAGATAATATATCCACACAAGACTGTCTCTTTTATTCTGTGAAAAACGTATAAAACGCAAATGTTTTAGGGAAAATGAAAAGTACATACAAATCTTCTGGAAGGAGTCCACATGAGAGTCCTTAATATTGAGAGGAGAAAAATATTAAAATTGATTTTAAAGAACTGGTACATGGCGGCGTTGACTGTTCTGGTTCAGGATATTGGGCTGTTATAAACATTTTTGGGTTCAATAAAAAAGATGAAATTTGTTGCCCTAAGCCATAAGCCTGTATTTCTTAATAAAATAATGAAAATAATCCAAAGATTCGTAATAACATAATTTTATGAGTCAATGCAGTATGTAATGAACCAGAGAGCCATTGAATTAATTCATTCTAGAATAAAATGACAATTTTTTCTTGGAATTATCCAGAACAGCCATTCTGAAATCACTGGTGGGAGTAGGAGAGCGTAGTTGCTATTTCAGTGGCACCTAATACACCCTACCGTCATGTTTTTACATTCGTGTTATTGGACAGGTTCAATATATTTGGTTATGAAATGTAGCGATAGATATATGTGTGTGCGTGTGTGCGTGTGTGCGGATAGATAACAAAGTGTATACTGGTATACTGATTTAGCGATCAACATACATATTTTGAGTGAAATGAAATTTTTGCTAACTCCATGGAATTGAGCCATTCTTGATAAGCCACCAGTTGCACTGCAACTCAACAAATTCCAAACATTTTATGGAAACGGAAGGTTCACTACTGTGTTCAGAAGAGCCCTCCACTAGTCCCTACCCTGAGCCATATCAATCCAGTTTATACCACCTCATCCTAGTTCTCTAAGATCCATGTTAACATTATCCTCCCATCTACATCCAGGTCTTCCTAGTGGTCTCTTTCCTTCTGGCTTTCCCGCCAAAATCTTACATGTATTCCTCTTTACCCTCATGTATGCTACATGCCCGGCCCCTCTTATCCTCCTTGACTTGATCATTCTAATTATACTTGGGGAAGAGTACAAGTTATGAAGCTCCTCTTTATGTAGTCTTCTCCAGCCCCCATCACTTCATCTCTCTTCGGTCGAAATATTCTCCTCAACACCCTGTTCTCAAACACCCTCAGTTTATGTTCCTCCCTCAATGCCAGAGACCATGTTTCACACCCATACAGAACCACAGGAAAAATTATGGTTTTGTATATTCTAATTTTTACGTTTTTAGACAGAAGCTAAAAGGTTCTGTACTGACTGGCAGCAAGCATTACCTAAATTCAGTCTATTCCTAATTTTCTCCTGAATACAATTTTGATCTGTTATTGATGTTCCCAAATTTTTTAATTCTGCCACATTTTCAGCTACTAAAGTAAACTACTTTATGTCATGAATTTGCTCTGCATTCTAGTGACGAGAAAGTAACATATACTTAGTTTTCTCTGCATTTACTTCTAGACCAACCTCATTACTAGCGTCAATTAAAGTTTCTGTGTTTTTCTTTATGGTATGTACTCCAAATACATGCATTAGCCCTTAGATGTGATAAAATAAAAAAATAATATATATATATTCAGACTCCAAATGCTGCTCTCCCCCAGTATGGAATGAAGTGTAACAAACCATAAATGCTAACCATACATTTAAATGACAACAAAACAGAATTCTTTGTTATCAGTTCTGAACAATAATTAACTAAAATCTCTCGTGATTATAAATGTTGGAAGGTCAGAATGGATTACATGACATAGAGTCTGACACTCTAAACATCATACAGTCTACACTCACATTCCTTTCATTCATATTAACTGTACTAATACAAGTGAAACTGATTCTAGTTAACAATATAACGGAGGAGGGCGTTACCTGAGGACGGCAGAAGGGTAGTCTCCGAAACAGTGTTTTAATTTAAAAATCCGGACAATGGATAATGCACAGTAAGTCTAAGGGTATTAATGCAACAAGAACCTATATACTTAACAACACCGCTTGAGAAGGCGTACGACAAAACGAAATGTCACGAAACTGGTACAAAACTGGGTGACTGTGAACCTGTGGAGAACGTGCCGGTTGTCAGGAAAGGTTATATTGAGAGAATGTTTTTGTATTTCTCTAATAATTTAATATGCGCACTCTGTATTCTGTAATTCGTAATAGTTTCTATATTAACATAAGGTTGCTGTGTAGTCTTACCCCGTTCTGATGTCAGTCGATCTGTCAAATGAAAGAGAAACGAAAACATTCACGAAAGCTCTCCAAGTCAAATAAGAATACTGTTCATTTATACAAGAACGAAAACGCCGAGTAGATTTATAATTAACCTTCCCGCGGTTGAAGTCAGTACATCATGCCTCTTGTATACATATTCGAACACCACACAAACACCTCATCCCACTTGTCAAACTCGACCCTACTACACAGCTTCGTAGTGTTCGTAGTACTACGGCGAACATAATCCAACACTTTACAGACTTTACACTCCATGAACAGCGCACTACAGTACATTTTGTTGGTCAGACATAACGCGACATCTCTGAGTGTATTTAGAAATCAGTGCAGCGTCACCATTGGTTATTTGTACAATATATTTTTCCTACTTTTCTTTCGCGTTTCAATTGCATATTCGCCGAATGAGTTCTTTCTGCTTGCTCTCCATGGCTTTTGAATCCATAGCTCTATATTGATATTTAACGAGGAAAGAAAAATCACCTCTAACCCCTGGCAATCTCAGACGGAATAATCACAACATTACTGCTTACGTATATGAGAAAATTTTGCATCAAAAGTGCATCATTTAAGTAAAGTGAGTTTTGATTTTTCCAATTTCGTCAATTATCAATCTGTCTAATGGTATACAATTCTTGTGAATAAATGAACATCATCGACACAGACCAGAAGCTGGCAAGTCTTATTCAATTTCAATCCCTCATTTACTTGGGCCTTCCCCCTTACATATTCCAAACCAAGTGGTTCCCAGGCTTTTTGACTCTGTTCCTACCTTTCAGATTTTAACATTTCTCAAGCCCCTCCTATTTTCTTACTGAAATAAATGTAACCTTTTGAACCTATATTTATGCTATTCTTCATGACGAACTAAATCATACAAAAGATGTAAGCAAAATATTCAAATTTTTAAAAAGAAAATTCTTCATACTGATCTCTATTTGGCCATAAATAATGCCAAAACATGTTGGAATATAATCATTCCAATTTTATTTCAATATATTAACATTTCTGGGGCACGCGGTAGCGTAGTTGGTTGAGGCACTATGCTACCAGCCAGGCCGAGCCATAGCTAAAGCGGTTAGTCGCTGGCTTCCCACCGTGGCGGCCTGGGTTCGGTCAAGTGGGATTTATGGTGGACAAAGTGGCGCTGGGGCGGATTTTCTCCGAGTACTTCGGTTTCCACTGCCAATCTTCGGTCCACCAAATTCTCCATCATCATAATCACCCGGGGAAGGCTACAATAGGCCAATCAGTGGCCGCCGTGCCGAGTGGACCCAATTGGACTCCACCCCCCCATAAGCGAAAAAAAAAAATGCTTCAAACTGGAAGGTCGCGGGTTCAAGTCTCGATTAGGGCACTGGATTTTTTTCAATTTACCTAATCCTTCTGGCCTTCTGAGTACCAGGAATTAATTAAATAATTTTCCTGGGGAGTAAAGCGTGGCCGGCGTGTAAGGTTGACAACTTTACCGCCATCTTTGAGCCAACTGTCTAGATAATGTGGGACCCTCAATGTCTCGCAACCCTATGGGCTTTCACGGCCTGCTACAGGGACAGCTTTATTTTTCTTTACTTTATATTTACATTTCTGATATCTGCTTATGGAAGATATGATCAAATATGTCTGAAAAAAATTACTAAATGTGGTACTGAAACCAATTTTTTTCTCTACCTCCAAGTCTCAGTACTTGCGAACCACTGTTTTAAAGTGAAAGTTGGCAGAAGTGGTGAAAAAGAACGTGTTTCTGGCCATTCTGAATAGGAACTGCACTAAACACTTCACTATGTAGACATAACTACAGATTTCCATTAAAACACATTTTTATTAACTTACCCAGTTTCATGGATTTACTGTATTTAATGACCGTTGCACAATGTCAACTAAATCAGTGGCTTTCAAGTGCAGCAACATGTCTCATTATTACCTGCCACATTTTACAGAATAATTTCTGAACATCAAAATAGGTAAAAAGTTCACATGAATATGCACCCCATGACCATCCTTAAACATAACCAACAGAGAATATCAGCTCCTGTCATCATATTCTGAGTAAAGGACATTTTGAGGGCATTCTATGCTGCGCTGTGATCGCTGGGGTCCACTTGATGCTGGACTTTGTGTTAATGCTTACACTACCTGACAGACTCACTTAAATATGTGGTACTGAACTGCAGACAAATAACTACTACTGTGTATTACATTTTGAGTTAGCATAAAGCAATCTAAACCTAGACACAGCATGAAAAGAGGCTGTTCATTTATTAAATTGAGATACATCCACCTTCTGCTAAGAGAGTTCAATGGAAGTCCTACGGATGCTGTTAGATACTAGGGAAAATACCCTAATCGGAATATTGGAACATTCACAGACTGTGATGGGGTGCTGCCTGTCCATGTTCTGTACATAATGCATGGATAGAAGAGCAATTTCTTGAGGCTGTTGAATGCCACCCTACCACGAGAATGTGACATCAGGCAGCTCTTATAGATACATCCCATGCTTCTGTACACTATATATTACAAGCACAGCAGTTGTATCCCTATCACATTTAGTCTGTGCAAGAGTTAATACAGTACACTGAACCTGCAAAACATGCACTCTGTAAGAAAATTTTGTAGGTTGGCCAAAGACGACATTTGCAACAGAGGTTTTATTCATGGACGAACTGCACTTCACTATAATTAAAATCACCAATATTCACAGGAAAGTGAGTGGTCAGATGAAAATCCTCATGCACTTCATCTGACCATCAGCAATGACAGTTTTTCATCAACCTGTTGGCTGGAACTTTACAACAAATTTAACATTATACTGGTATGAGTTAGCAGCTGCAATTAATCTTAATTTTCTTTGAACATGCCTCTGTGAATTATTGGAAAAAGTGTCCTTAAATAAGCATCTTTATATGTAGTTTCAACATGATGATGCTCCACCACATTACATCCGTGAAGTGCGTCAATGGCTGTCTGAAAATTATCCTCCATGTCAGATAAGGTGAAGGTGTGAAGCTCCAGTTTCCTGACCTGCATGCTCTTGACATGAGTCCTTTCGATTGTCTTCTGTAGGTAATATGAACAGCTACAATTTCGAGGAAACCAATGTGTCAAATTCAACAATCTACAGGTTAAATAAACAATACACTCAGAATCTTCCAACACTTGCAAATTTAATTTTCATGCAAAGCTGAGCTGTATGCCCCTGAACATGTAGCCTATTTTGAATACCTGTTACAAAAAATAAAAAATTATTAGGTTATTAAAGCTCTTTTGCTTCTTTCATTCATATATACACTCCACAAACTTGGATAGTACTTAGGGTCTGATAATGGAAGATAAAATCAGAATACCTGTAACTTCTTATAGTATATTTTCATACTACAGTAACTCCTTTATGTATTTTGATGTCCAGAAACCATCCTGTAAAATAAGGTATGTAGTAATGAGACACTACGTATTGCCCCACTGTACCCTGTCTTTCTTCCAATAACCTATGAATGTAGAATATCTGATCGGTAGTTTACCCATTACACTAAAGTTCCCAATGATTTTGTCTACATATGGAGTTCAGATTGAAAGAAACATCTTTGACAAAATGTTTTGTAATTTGATAAATCCGATACACCTTCACAATTATTGTAGGTGGATTTTGCTCTTTTCATGAATAGAAATAATGACAAGTTCAATCCACTGATGTGACAGTAGTTTATTTTTATCCAAAATAGAATTAAAAAGTTTATGGCACTGAGAACATAATTCAGGCTCTGCACTGGGCATTTCTGTCAGAATTAAATAAATATATTGAAAATCAGACTTCAACTTTTCAATTGCAATTTAAGCCTCAAAAGGACTAAGCTCAGGTACTACTTGCTCGACAGTACGTATTCCAGTTCGCCTAACAATAGTACAACACATACCTCAATACCTGACAAGTAAGTCTTTTACCTATTGAAAATATCGGATCTCCTATCTGAGCATCAGTCTCATTCTTCATCAAACAGGTTTTGAGGTGCGTAATCCTTGCGCTCCCCCTAATACTACTACTATGATCATTAGCAGTACTGTTTAAACCAGTGCCTCCTTATTCTTTTAAAGCACTTGAGGAGCTGAAATACATTCTACTGTTAAGAAATTGTGCCTGTATCAGGTATGCACACAATTCTTATAGTCAGGGCCATCTACCACTTCATCATGCAGACCAGTCCCTTGCTGTGTGGGTTACGTTCTTGAAAAAAATTGCAGTTTGTGGGAACTTGGGGGGGTCAGAACAATTGGGACCAATAGTAATTCACCAGAGCCTAAGCCTAACTACTTAACAAACCACAGGTGTCCTGCCAAATATATCCACTTTTTGTTATTGCTAGTGGGGTGGGACTAAGTCCCTTGTACTGCGGCCACTTCTGGCCTATTGTACCAGCCCCAGATGATAGGTGAGGGTGATTGTGGAGCAATTGGTGGAATGAAAATTGGCAGGGGAAACCGAAGTACTCGGAGAAAACCTGCCCCAGCACCACTTAGTCCACCACAAATCCCACTTGACCAGACCCGGGATCGAACCTGGGCTGCCACGGTGGGAAGCTAGCAACTAACTGCTTGAGCTATGGCGCGGCCCATATATGCACATTACTATATGTCGAAAACATTTTTGAGGGTGAATCATCATCAGAATGTAACACAGATCAATGCATCATCAGATAACTCCTAGGTTCTGTTTTCAACACGACAGAACCCAGAACTGTCATACCAGAGATCTCACTGGACACACAAGGCATTTTTTCAGAATTACTGGGTTTCTGGACTTTTTCATCAGCTGGTATTCTAGAAAACAACACTTCAGAAAATGGATCTGTTTCCATCCTCAGGTGAGAGTGGAGACACCTACTCTGCTGTGTTCCTCTGAAAGAGCCCCTCAATCACAGGACAATCTCTGTGAAAGTCAAAATTAATTTATGACTGGCAGTTTATCACTAATCACTTCGCCTTGGCACCAAGCCCCTTGAGGATCACGACCGGATTGTTTTTTAACTGAACCTTTGTGGTCACAGTCCTTATGTAACATCCTCTCTGACAAGAGGATGTGTTTGTCTCTTGTGAAGATGTTTGGCCTTTTGTCAAGTGTATATATTGCACATACAGCATGTACTTGACACAGCTATACAAAGACCTGACACAGGCTTTCCCAATGGGAGGTAACAAGTAAAACGTACAATACAAATTATGATAAAGCATGCACAGACCTAAGACTAAGAAAAGGGGGTGGAAATTTTATGCAACAAAATTGTCCATGAAAAGCACTGTGTACGATTAACCAGAGAATGCCTACCACTAGCACCATATGTGGAGTAAAAACTAAACCCTCGAGACTAGAATCTTATATGAACCCACGAAGAATATGTCAGATCATGCTGATCTTCCCTATGAGCTGTTAACCTCATTGCTGATAAGGGGGATCCAAATGGGAGAAATGTCCAAACTGGGTTGGCTGATTGAATTGGTTAAGCATACCATATGGGCTCAGTCCTATTTCCTATAGATGCTGTTACTTCAATTTCCAAATCCCAACCTCATTCCAGCCTACGCTATGACCCTCTTCATAAGCATGTTGGACTAATTTTGACTTTTCTTGAAGACTATCTTTGAGATTGTGCCTAAGTTCATGGAGCTGCATGGCTAGAGGTCTGCCTGTTTCGCCAATGTAGCTTCTGCCCACATTCACAGGGAATGCCATAGACACACTGTGCTGTCTGTTGCAGATCTCTTTCCAATCTGGTTATTATAAGTGAACTACTAAAAGTGTGTGCTTAGTTTTTCAGACCGTCCTCATGTTATAGCAATTCCCAAAATGTTTGAACTTTTCTAAAACATCCTTCATACATGCTCCAGCCACACTATGAACCTGTTGTCGATTCAGCCTGTAACAGAAATGAGCACCAGGAATCTTCCTGGGGGTAAAGGGCAGCCAGCACATAAGGCTGACATTCTCACTGCCATCTGGGTGCCGAAAGTCCAGAAAATGTCTGAGCCCTGACCTGTTACAACCATATGGGCCTCCACAGCCTGTGGAGCTTTACTTTCTACCTTTTTCACCCTTTACATATGGGACAAAGCCCAGAAGCTTTCCTTCTTTATTCCATAGGTAGCAGCGGGACTGGGTGAGCCCTAGAACTAGTCTGGAGGATGTGCAGAGGAGAAAGATCTTGCCCCTGCTGGGACTCAAACTCCAACCCCTCAGCTGTCCAGCCCATAGCCAGTTGCTACACCAACTGCATTATTCCTGCTCTCCGGTACATCAAAGTCATACTGTAATTAAGCACTAAATTGCATGAATACAATTAATATGATTTAAACATAGTTCAAAGTTAATTACAACTTTCCAACATTTTTTCTTAATTGCGATCTTTTGTGAAACAACTGAAGTATTTATTTGCACACAGACTCTCCTATTATTATTGAGAATGGAAGACTTAGCACCCTGATCAGTTATATTAATTAAATACATGTAGACCTATATATTCAGATGGGATGAAGCATCATTTAATTATTAACCTTTATCGGACGGACCATTTAATTTCCGGCAGGGGCAGCTGGATGGAGTCTATTTAAATGCCCGCCCTTCTAGAGCAATGAAATTGTAAGCATGTGNGAATAAGAGACTTCCGTTAATGTTGGGTGTGTTTGCTGAATGCAGAAAACGTTCACATTGCATTACGTAGGTTTAATTATGATGAAAAACATAAAGTTATGCGAAAAGTGTACTAGAGATAAAAACGAGGATTTCAATTTCCTCTACCATTTTATATTTATATGTTTTTTGCTCTGATAAATATTTGATAAGATACACACAGAAATGCATGTAGGTCATCTTGTAAAATGTCAATTATTTTTGCCCAGTTTCAACAAAAACTGAAATGTGTTGGGAAATTTTACTAACACTCCATACCAGTGTTTCATGCATATAGATGGAAGGAGTGAATTTATCAGGCCTTCCAGTGCCGCATATGTCCCTAAAAGTTTGGTATAGCAACTGTTAGTGATTATAAGAGCTTTTATTTAAGAAAGAGTATTGAATTCTCTTCAACATATACCAGATGAACAAGATTTCATTTACTGCACTACCAAGTATTTCACAATATCTTGCACCATTACTGTATGACATATCACTCGGGAAAATAAATCATATGCTTTAAACAATCCCTTTAAAAAAATGTAATTTTATATGTATGTAATAAGAGTAGGTGTTATTCTACAAATGAATAGAAAACAAGGGCCTATTCGCAAACAACTATGCATAATAAATACAAAATATGATTACTGATACTGCTTGACTACCATTATCTGTGCTTATAATGCTTTGACTTTAAGCTGTTTCATCTTCGGAGCTTTCTTCTTCATTTGGCGTTTCATTTCACGATCCTCCCATTTTCTCTGCTTCTCAGGATCATCCTCCTGAAAACGTTACAGATATATGATAGCTATACCTCATAACAAGAAATTAAAATTCCTGTTTATAAAATACAACTGATCTCTTTTTTCCAGTTGCACCCATAACATATTTCATACAATGCTACAGACAGAATGGGCTTCAATATGATATAAAATCCTCCACATGACTAATTCCATGGAGCAGTCCTCCTTGAGAAGCTAACAGTCACTCAGCTGGTCAAAACATACCCTGCATGAGGAGATGATGCTCAACTTGGAAAATATTCACACATTTATAATCTGTGTTTATGAAGACTTGGTGGTTCAGCTGCATCTGCCCCAGAATTAAACCACTGAAGAAGTGAAAATAAGGTTTCATAACCATCACGGTCCTTCTACACTCACTTCCATCTAGTGCCGGGGTCAAGAAAAGTGGAACTATACCTCCACTCCTCACGGAAGAGTGCTTAACTGATTAAGCATAAGGACAACTTTAACTTTACTTTTACCATTGTCCTTCCACATCATAAATGTTTCCATCCCATCCATATATTTTGCAGATTCACTGATCAAGAACGTTAACCAAGGTGAACAGAAGGATAAGAAAGATGCACTCGACTTGTCCGATGCTGAAAATATGTCAGCAACATAGCAATTCCAGCAAATGCTTAAAGTCAAGAACATCTGCTTAAGGGTACAGCAATATGAGTAAGAGTTAAATTTCAGTTTCTAAAACACTATTTATAAAATAAATAATCAAAGGTCCAATTATATAAGCCTGAAAATTAATTTCTCTATGTAGTAGTATCTTACTGGACAGGTTCTTCAATTCCCTTTCAACTGACACTAATTTCATATTCATACCTCAGTTAGGGACAGTTTCAGAGATATAAAAAATCAAGTCCTACCATAAATTGACTTTTTCAGAACTTCAGATATTAATAAATCATAAATTATTACATCTACAGGTCTGAATCCCGGCATGGTAGTAAAGGTAAAGGTATCCCTATAACAGACCGTGGAGGACCATAGGGTTGTGAGAAGTTGAGACAATTGGCTCACAGATGGCAGAGAAACAGTGTTCCTAACATCTGTGATCCATTAGCAGGGTATATTTCTGAAGGTAAGTTTGGCATCATGAGTCAAACATGAACTCACCAAAAGAATTCTCTCTTTTTCCTGCCTCTTCTTTTCCTCTCTGCGGGCAGCTGCCGCCTCTGCACGAGCAGCATGGGTTGTCTTTAGGAATGCCTCCTCAACACGCAGCCTATTTTTTTCCGCCTTATTCTTCGCCTATAAGCAAACATTTTATTCTCATATCAGAACTTTGTATTTCCAGTGAAATGTCATACAGAAAAGAACAACAAAAATTAACACAAGTTCAGTTGGCCTTAATGTACACAATGTATTGCAGGAATAGTAATTTAAGTGGGATGCCAGAATGTAGGACCAGGGAGTCAAACTCAAACATCCTGAAGTGTAAACAGTAACTGAATTGATAAAGTATTCATTTGACATCCACTGTCTTCAAGGAAAAGGAACCTCAGTGTCTACAATGGTTTTAAATATTCCTTTTCCCTTGTGTCTTGCACACAAACTCTTATAATCATAATTTCATGCTATCCCCAGCCACTTGTCATCACCCATTCCATCTACATTGTCTTTACACATCTTCCTATATTTCAAGACTGGAAATATAATATGCATAATTACTAACAGCACTTTCTGAAGCTTACATAAAAATATGACTAATGAAATAATTCCAACAAATCTGTGACTGGACTTGTGGGATATGTGGAAAGTCCATTTACAGCCTTATGCAGGCTAGGTTTATGATGGATCAATATGGCTGAAAATTTGAAATAGCCAGAAACTTCTGGTGGAAGTCTTCCTCATAGTATTTCAACAATATCTATTGCAACAGTTTATGGGACATGTGAAAAAGTCTGTTTAAGGCAATATGTAAACCAGACTTTATTATGGATCAAGAGGACTGAAATTCAGAACTTCTAAGTCTTGAATGAATGAATGTATAAGGGGTGGGCCTTCTCGGCCCTTGCACCGCGACCTACAGTGATCTATTGCACTTAGAACTCTTCTAAGTCTTGGCCTGGAGCCTGGCAATCCTGACAGATTTCTTTTATGGTTTCCCACAGTCCCTCCAGGCAAATGGTAGGACTTTAGGGTATACTGTTTATTGTTAGACCGGTATCTGCAGCTGACACAGCACAGAGCTCTAATGGTAGCCAATAATTCACAGCACCCTCTTCAGCCCAGTTTAATTCACTTTATTTTACAGAAGTCTCAATCTCATGACCCACTGCTTCTAAGCATCACTCACACCATGAGAACATATTTATAGACATACATCTAGGCACCTCTATAAGAACACTGGAAGTTTTATGCCTAATATTTTCTCAAAATTCTTCCGAAGAGTGCTGATTGTTCATACACAATTTGTTTTTTTTTTTCCAGTATGCCCCACAACAAATCATAAGGATTTAAGTCAAGTCATCACAGAGGACATCTTGACTTACGACTTATTTGCTGAAAACCACAACTAATAGACACAGAATTGTTTGCTCTGTGTGCCACTGCATTATCTAATATTCCCATACAATTCCTCTTTACCAGTGTGTTGATAGAAGAAGGTCAACAAAATCAGTCTCACATAACATTCAGAATTTACCGTTAAAAAAAAAAAACACACGCACACACAGGTCCAATTCTTCTGTACACCGACTGCACACAAAACCCTGCCTTTCAAATCACACTACAGAACCCAATGAATAGATATGAGGATTTTCTTAATTCCAATATCTTTTATTTTAGCTGTAAAAATTAAACGAACCATGCCCCAACAGAATAAAATGTTAGTTCTGGCTCAACACATCCACTGAATACTGACCTCCAAAACCTGCAGTACTGAATCCCCACTTCACAAATCTGGTGGAAAGAGGCTATATATGAATGTATAGGGCCCTAACTTCGTGAACTTATACCACTCCAAGCTCTACTTTTTGCCAACCAACACTGGAGAGCCAAAGGATGTAACAACTTCCTTGGTCTTGTTTCCAATTGTGTACTGATGTCATCAAATTTTTTTTTTGCAGTCACATCTTTTTCAAAACTCCTTTGTCCAGCACCAATCCCAACAACATAATATTGTAACAGCATTGTGAACTATTACTTTACAAGGTATAAACAATGTTGTATAACGGTATCATATATGAATAGTTCAACACTATATTTCACAGCAATATAAACTGTATTTGTACTAGGGTTCACATTCGTCCCGTTTTTCCTGGGATAGTCTTGTTTTTTCATATAATGTCCCATTATCCTGGATTTATTTCAAATGTCTTGCTTTTTAGGTGCTTCTCTGTAACATTAATTTCTATTGATACCCGCTCGGTAGATGCTATTCTCTGCAATTGGCAGTTCTATAACAATGTTAACACTCCTGGTGGCTAATAAACAGAACACAATTTCACAAATTATTAGTTTTTCTGTTGGTAATATGTCTCTCTTTTCCATTTATGTTGGTACTATTTTGATTTGCTTCCATAACGGAAGTTCTGTTTGTATCATTCTCTTTATCCTTTGCTGACCATTATGTTGTGTTGTGACAGCCTGTGAGAATTTAAACTTTTTACCAAATGTCCCAGTTTTTAGGCAAAAAATGGAAATGTCTGTTTTTTGGAAAAAAATATTATTATTATTATTATATTAGTATTATGGGAACCCTAATTTGTATGCATCTCAAAGGCAACTAAGCACTAAACACTCAGTGCTGCTGAGATAAGCAGCAGGCACTGGATGACTATGTGGCAATATGGCAGCTGGCAGTGGACAAGTGTGAGCAAACAAATTTCTAGCCAGCCAGTCTGAAGGTAAATTGAACTCCTTGCCACCTTCCTTCCACATCTTTTCCAATTTATTATTCACTAATCACTCCACTGCCTGATACTACATAATCAGCGGTACAGAAGGGAGGGGGAGGGACCTGATCATGTAATGTGGAAAACCTTTGCTGTGACCTTTCAGTGATGATAAATTGCCTTTTTATAACTAACCATGGCCCATTCACTGATGGTTACAGCCCAGAGCTTGGTACTCAATGATGATGAATTAGTAAATTTTCTGGAGTAAATGGAATCAAACTTAACACCTACCTCTTTACTAAGTCTAAATCTCTTGACCTTATCCATGCAATAAAAGACTAACTGCAGCAGAGGTCGCATCTGATCCATAGCTTCATGCACTGGTTTTCCTTTCAAAGGAATATTGAATCCAAACATCAACAACTTCTTTGTGTCTGGCAGCTTCGTTAGACTAGAATCCCTGTGAGTTAAATTTCATATTATGCATATTATACACATTAAATATTATTTCATTTAAGTCGGAATGCTAGCAAGTAAAAATGATAAATAAATATTAATAACTGTTCAAAGGTATAGTAAATGTTTCAAATGTTGCATATATTATGGAATAAACTTAACTAGGAAGAAAAAAGCTATTTTCTTCCACAGAGTACAGAACTTGTAGATCAGACTTCTACACAAATGAGGTGTTACTTCATCTCTATTTCATCATTAATTTAATATATAACAAACAAATGCTTCATATGTTTATGTAAACTGTATAAAATTCCTTTAAAATATGAGGTTTATATGGGCAGACAAACAACATTGAAGTAAAACGTAAGACAACTCACTCAGGTTGTTTGGGTCCAGAAAACTGGTCTGAGAAATGGATGTAGTCAATGATGTCAGCATACTTGTTGATGACAGCAACGATGCGTGGGTCTAATAATGATGCTGCTACCTCCACAATTTCACATAAAAGACTAAAGTTGGAAGGTAATCCATACTTTTCAACTGATCTTCTCTCTGGGCAGTACACACTCTGTTGATCAAAAAAGAGTTACACATGAACCACATTTATTTCATTCAATAAAAATACACTAGAGTGAGACCAATCAGGAATGAACCCTTGCCGAAACTAGTGGAAGTCTGAAATATAGAATTGCTACTGAAAATATGTTCGTGGAAGTTATAAAGTGGACTTCATGTGGCTTTTAGGCAATGTGATCATCAACATAATGAGCGGGGGGGGGGATAGAGCTGTTGAATTATTGAGAATTCCAAATTAGTTGAGTTCAGTAAATTGTTGCTGGTTCTTGAGAACATAGCCATTCTCAGTTTCGAGCCCCAAACCACTTGTGTTTAGAAACTGGGTCTCCTCTTCAACAAAGAGGGGTTTGTCTCAGTAGGCACCACATTTGTTGCACCTTAGTTTCACATGAGTGTACCCACAATCACGCTGCATCCAGGTAAGGGTATTATACTTTATGGGCACCATACACGCTTTGTCACTTCACAGTAACAAACCATTTTTATGGAAGATATACAAAGGACAACTGTCAATGCAATAATAAGAATGATTTGGTCACTTAAACGGTCTTAGGCCTGACCACTGCCAACTTTAAGCCTCTTACGCTTCATATGAATGGCTTCTTCTTCGGTCGGTCGGTTAAACTACTGCTGGCCTTCACCAGCATCTCCAAATTAGTGAGATTTCACTGTGTTTTATATATTATGATGGAAGGTAAAAAATAAAGGCAATTTTAGTTCAGCTCAAAAGTAATACTGGCATCAGTAAGAAAAAAAAAAGACGTTAAATATGAGAACTAAGGACTCTCCCCTCGTTTCTACCTAGTTATTTTATTGTCTCTTGAGAAGTGACAGTACTGCAACACATATAACATGACTGCTGAATTAACAAAATGCGCCAAACAACTAAGACCTGTGATCTAGTGTTTGTGGTCAGTGGGCTGAAATCTAGTGAACATTACAGAAGAGAGTTCACAAACTGGTGAAGAAATTGAAAAGAGGGCTGGAAATAGTAATGACAGAATGTGTTTTTTACAACCACGGACTAGTGAGTGTTGAGGTTAAGGAACACATATATCAGAATATTTGGTACAAACAAAACATCAGCATTGATGAAACTGCCATCTAAAATAGAAAGATGAGGTAAAAGAAATAATGCATGAATGGCTTACAGCTCAACCAGAAACATTTTATTCTCATGAAATAAGGAATCTGTTTACCAGTGGACCAAAGGCACTGGAAAGGAGAGTTATAATGTAGGAAATAAGACATGTTTGAATACTACGTGATTTCTTTGACAGAACATATAATACAATTGCCTTACTTTTCACTTACTGCTGTTTATTCAGGAAATTTTAAGCATTTATTACTGCATACAAAATATAATAATGAAACAAATCATAAAGGGAATGCGGTGCACATTTTATAAATTATGTTATGACAGTACTGAATTTATGTTTCTCACAGTGGTGATTACAAAAGGTTCTGCCTTCTGGGATGTAACACTGTGTAGTACAGTAAAAGTCAACAATTGTTTCAGATCAACACATCATCTCCCATCTCGAGGGCTGAAGATTAAGCCAAGCAAGAAGTTAGCAACAAACTGCAAGAACAGGTGGAAAATAAATGGAATTCAAGCATTCATATGTCTGCTAAAGATGCTCATGCCCACCCATGCCATATGCAGCGCATTACTTTACTTTTAGTTGGAGTACATGTAGCAAGTACCGATCACAGTGGCTGCACAGTCTAAGGTATGAACTGCCCTCGCCCGCTTAAACGCTGGGATTGTGGGTTAGAATCCCACTTAAGGCATGGATGTCTGTGTGTGAATTTATTCTGTGTTTGTGTTGTTGTGTGTAGGTAGCGACCTTGTGACAGGCTGATCACTTGTCCAAGGAATGCTACCATCTGTATAAAAAAGATTACAAAACTGAAGAAGAGGCCAAGGCCCAACAAAGGGCTGTAGAACCACTGATGAATGAACACACAACAAGTATTTTTCTCAAGCTTGCCACAACAGTGGATGGTGTTTCAAAGAATGTGAAATTTATGAAGTAAAGTAACAGTTACCCAAGCCCTGAACTGCACAGTCAGTGATGGACTGAATGCTGACAGTTACCTGTAGCATAAGGGCTACTGTCATATCTCACATAATTTCATTGCAAAACTTGTGCCCTGGGACAAATGTCTGACTCTTGCTGACTGTATTAACACTGCACTACAATGAAGCTTTTAGAGACTTTGTAGCCCACCTTCAGAGTATTACCAGACAGCACTGTTCACGACACTTAGCAGAATCTGTTTTAACTGAAAGTCACCTCTACACTCATACAAATTTTATTAGCAGATAAAGCAAGAGGAAAAATCACCAAAAAAAAGAAAAAGAAATTTGAACCGATAATATAAATGTATTCCTTGTTGCAAAGATTCAGTGGATGTTCAAAAGAATGCCAAAAATATCATCAGATTTCAGCTTTCTAAATGGTGAAACTTCGTATTCTCAGTCTGTTAACAAAATACAAATGCCGTAGTAAAAAGAGGTAAAGTTGTCCTTGTAACACCATGAAGGCATATGAGGGGAGTGGATGTATAGATCCACATTTTCTTGACCTTGGCACTAGTTGGAGATAAGTGGTCAACTTCACACCCCAACGCTTTACCCCCAAAGAAAAAGCCCCTGATACCCATTGTATAGGAGGCTGGGTGGGCCCCAGGGCCAGTCTGGATGACATGGAGAAGAGAAAATTCTTGACCCTAATGCTCCTATGCAGTAGCCTTTTTTTGCAAATAAATATAAAGATAATGTCCAAATCACTGAATTTGAATGTAAAAGTCAAAGATCCAAACATTTTGTAGCAAACACTGCTATAAATTTCAATGATGTTGATAATATCCCTTCTGAACTTAAACCCTTGGGGCCCACTGTTGAGTGCAGCTTGCAGTGGCAGCAAAGTGCAGGGTACAGCACATCAAGGAAATCATGTTTCTGATTTCTAATTTAAATTGATCACATAGTTAGGAACATCTTGCATGAATGACAGCACCAGTCAAATCATAATGCCTTTAGAAACTCTGAACAAAATACACGTTTACTGTATAATTATAAGAATTTTTGTATCCCCACTCAAATGATTACAGGCTCTAAGGAGGAAGTTATCAATCATAAATAGAGTTCTTTGGCTCTGCACTGTGCTTAGACAAGGAGGCTTTAAAGAGTCAGTACACCAGATGTGTGTTTGTGACATGTACCTGAACACTGAGAGAAACTAACACAGCAGTTAATTATGACACAATCAACAAATTTGCAGATGCATAGAAAAGTACACTGCTATGAGTATAAGAGTATTCTTTGAAAGTTGTCCTGAATCAAACACTTTATTCTTTAAGCTATGTTTCAGAAATATCACAGAGTCTTTGTTTCCACCAGATCAGTTACCAGCTGCCAGGCAGACAATAAATGACATACTGATAAAGCTTTCAAAATTATACAAGTAACAGAGAAAGAGGGTTGCCCTTTTCCATGTTTGCACCTTGTTCAAAATTAGCTGGGGCACACAGTAGCATAGTTGGTTGAGGCACTGTGCTACAAGCTGGAAAGCTGTGCGTTTGATTCTCAATGAGGTCACTGGATCTTTTAGTTGACCTAATCCTTCCGTTCACATTACGGCCCTGGGGTAGACACAGCCTCTAACAGAAATGAGTACCAGGNCCAGCTGCCAGGCAGACAATAAATGACATACGGATAAAGCTTTCAAAATTATACAAGTAACAGAGAAAGAGGGTTACCCTTTTCCATGTTTGCACCTTGTTCAAAATTAGCTGGGGCACACAGTAGCATAGTTGGTTGAGGCACTATGCTACAAGCTGGAAAGTTGTGCGTTTGATTCTCAATGAGGTCACTGGATCTTTTAGTTGACCTAATCCTTCCGTTCACATTACGGCCCTGGGGTAGACACAGCCTCTAACAGAAATGAGTACCAGGAATATTCCTGGGGGTAAAGGGTGGCGGGCACATAAGGTTGACAACCTCACCACCACCCGTCTATGAAATGTGGGAGCCTCTCAACGTCTCACAATCCTATGGGGCTGCATGGCCCATTACATGCACAGCTTTACCTTTCTTTTTATCACAAAATTAGCTAGGTACATCTCGATTAGACAGCAGTTACTACCTTGACAACAGAAGAATTTATAACATATGCCATCAGCTGTCATTACTTGAAATGGCAATGGAAATAGTTACCACACAGACCACCTGAAAATATATCTGACAAATCTGGTGAAGTAATAGATTATCATATTATACAGCTTTTCTGCANGGGCACATAAGGTTGACAACCTCACCGCCACCTGTCTATGAAATGTGGGAGCCTCTCAACGTCTCACAATCCTATGGGACTGCATGGCCCATTACATGCACAGCTTTACCTTTCTTTTATCACAAAATTAGCTAGGTACATCTTGATTAGATAGAAGTTAATCAGCTGTCATTACTTGAAATGGCAATGTAAATAGTCACCACACAGACCACCTGAAAATATATCTGAGAAATCTGGTGAAGTAATAGATTATCATATTATACAGCTTTTCTGCATATTGTAATTCTTTTGGCACCATGGCCTTTAGTCCACAAGCAAACTATACCGACCAAACCACCACTTGTCGGTGAAGTTAGTGCCAACTTTTACGGATAGAGGGTATCACATGGTCAGCTCAACGGATCCCCACGGCTGTTAATCTAGGTTTTCTATTGTATTTTACAAACCATAAATAACTTACCAAGTCAGCCATGTCTTTTGATAGGCGCAAGGCAGACTTCTTTGTGGCTACACAGAATACAATACTATCCATATCTTCTTTGTTCATGTCCACCTTGATGTGCACCTGGTCACTGCTTGGCCTCATTAACTGTGCAATCACTGCCACCAAGTCTTGTCTCTGAAATGAAGCACATCCAAATGTTACCCTATTCTCAACAGATATACTGTCATTATGTTGGGGTGTGACTTATAGATGGGGTATGGATTGGTGAATTGGACTTACTGACCACTTGTTTACACCACTCGAACTTAACTTCACAGCTCACTGACACATGCACAGAGTAGCGTCCTCAGTCTATTACAGTCTCCAACAGCCGTTCCTTGGCAATGGATTTAACAGTGGAGATTCTTTAGCTCCCTGCACTCAGGTCCTCTTGTCACAGCTGTCCGTGCAGAACTCTTGTCAACTGACAACTCAAGTAACCAGTTCCCAGACTGATGGCCATTTCACAACAACCTCCTAGTCTTCTCTTCACAGGCTAATTTTCAACTGTACTGAAAACTGAACTCTCTCACTCACCAACCACCTACTTCACGTCACTTCACTCAACTGAACTGCTGAAAACTCAAATTCACTACTCTGGAACTTGAACAAGCCTGTTTATAATATTTCATTATGAACCACATAGAAAACACTGTTTCCATTGATATAGTCCAATACCTTGACTGTTGCACGGAAACAGGTGTCTGTTTATTTGCCTACTGCACAGCAACGACTGTTGTCTACACTCACCGCTGACCAACAGGTCTATATACCACAATAGCTAAACAGACTACATTAAAACATTTCCATCTTTAGATTCTAACTTTTTTTTAGGCAATCAGAGTTTAGCCACACTGTGTGTTGAAGCTGTTCCATTTTGGCATGCACTGCAGTTGCAATCTTCAGGGCACATGAGGCAGGAAGAGGGTGCAGACCAATATATAGGTTTCACCACGGAAATAATGGTAGAGTGTGGGAAGCATGGTGCTATCCAATGGGAAAGGCCACAGCCCAGTGTGTCTTACAGTGGGAGTAATAGTGGGGATGTGGGGCATAGTAACAGTGGGGATGTGGAGCATGGACCACAGGATCCCTTTCCAGGGGACAGCACCATGATCCATGCCCTCACCATTATATCCATTGTGAGAACACAAGTCACACCGTCCTGCCATACTCAAATAGAAAATTGCCAAATGGAATTAATTAGCTTGTGGATCTTAGAACGTAATGTTTTGCCTCCTGCTTGAATAAGTTCCACCAGAATTTGATCACTACCTGGTGATGTATACCGTTTCAATTTTGCAATAGCACTTTCAACCTCAAAAGGGCTACGATCAGGTATTAACGACTCTGCTGTATTTATTTCTGTCTGCCTAACATCACTGACCCTATGTATATTCAATAAATGAGAGAAGTAGTTCCTTCACCTATTCAAAATGTTGTGGGAAACTGCAAGCAGATCACCATTCTCATCCTTTGCTAAGTTACTGCTAGGTTGGTAACCCTTCTTAAAGTCAGATTACAAAATTAATTACGCAGGAGGCAGGCAGATGTCATCCTTAAATCATGAAAATCCAAATGTATGTGCAATTGGGCAAGGAGAAGCCAGATATAGGAAATATATGAGGCTTAAACTTGGCAAATTTCTGTAACATTGAATGATAAAACTAGTAAATAATGACTTACAAAGGATGCAAAAGAAAGCAGTCATGGCAAAATTTGAGGTACTACGGTGGAATCTGCTGGAGGGTATGAGGAAAAAGAACACAAAATATCAGTCAGGACAGCCAGTCTTTAAGCCAAGATGTGAAGTCTGGTCATTCAAATACAAAGCAGAACTTCTAATCACCTGATCAAAATATTATATTACACTGTGAACAAATAAGTGGCAAGTAACTTACAGACATATTAAACATTCATGGTTGCATGGTATCCAGACTGACAGAATGTTTCTTCAGAGAACTGTAGCTGCTAGAACAGCTAATTCTTAAAAAATATGTTGAATTACATAAATGTTGCTGGATCATTATGTATACAACTCTATTATGTCTGAGAGAAGAAGAAGATTTTCTTCCATAAAGAAGTGTCTAAATTTCACAGTGCGTAAACATTTATAGGTTATTATGAACATATTTGCTTACCTTGAGGAACTTCAGTTCAACAAGCATGCCTTCACAGCATGTACGACCACTGCACCACAGTGTATAAAGATTTTCAGAATCTTTCAAAAGACCTGGATTCTCACTTTCTATCTTCCCATCATCACCTATCAAGAAAATTAAAGCATATCTTAAAAAGTGCTAGCAAACAGCAGACTAAATTAAAAAATAACACACACATGTGTAAACGTCAGTCACCAGTGACTGAATTATGGTAGTATAACCATTACATACAAGGGCTATATGGAAACCCCCCGCCCCATTTACTTTAAGCAACTAGCGTAGGAGTGGGGGAGAGCTCACACATGCAAAGTAGTGTCACATGACTCATTACCTTGTAAATCATCACATAACTGATCATCTAGTGTTTGTTCTTGCCTGTACAGAGTGAGTTATGATGTGTCCTGCAATTGATAATCACACCAGCTCTGAAATTTGAGCTGTTATCCCCTTGCTCCATGCTAAAAACATGAGTGCTGAAGAAATCCATCATGAATTATGTGCAGCAGTTTACAGCCAAAATGTAATGAGTGAAGGAACTGTAAGACAATCCTGCAGAATGTTGAAAGATGGGCAAACAAATGTTCATGATGACGAGTGAAGTGGTCAGCCATCTGTAGTGAGTGATGATCTTGTACAAAGTGCTGACAAAAGATCTGGTGAAAGACGGCGCTTCACAATTCCAGAATTTCCATGTGAATCTCCACAAACTTCACACTGTTCTCTACAAGACTGTCACAGTTAGGCTATGCCAACACAAGCTCTGAGAGACTACCACCTGATTATCTACTTGAAAAACTGGTTGGGATCAATGCACTTCAACAATAAAGAGGAGCTGATGGAAGATGTCGAGAAGTGGCTCAGCTCACATGTGGCAGACATCTTGGACACAGGCATACAAAAACTTATTCCCCAACACGACAAGTGCCTCAATTCTGGTAGCGACTGTGTTGAGAAGTACCTTACATACGGGTACTTTTTATATACAACACATTTTTGTTGGGGGCACGCGGTAGCGTAGTGCTATAAGTCGGAAGGTCGTGGGTTCAAATACCGATGAGGTCATTGGATTTTTTTCAATTGACCTAATCCTTCCGGCCACACTATCACCCTGGGGTTCACTCAGCCTCTAACAGAAATGAGTACCAGGAATTAAATAAATAATTTTCCTGGGGAGTAAAGCGCAGCCAGCGCGTAAGGCTGACAACCTTACCTTACCGCCATCTTTGAGCCGACTGTCTAGATAATGTGGGACCCTCAACGTCTCACAACCCTGTGTGCCTTCATGGCCTGTTACAGGGATAGCTTTGCTTTACTTTACTTTTACTTACTTATACATTTTTGTTTCCCATTGTTTTGTTAACAGCCAACTGGAGGTTACTTTCCGAATAGCCCTCGTAAGTAAAGTAAAGGTATTCCTGTAACAGACTGTGGAGGCCCATAGGGTTGTGAGATGTTATCATGACACCAACAGGTTCTACATGCATCTAATTCCACTGAGTTGTGGTAATGGATGTACAGAAGATGCTTTGCTCTGCAGATTGCACTTTCCTCATCAATGTCAATGTGATGATTTATAAATATGGGAAGTCACTCTCCACTTACATAAAACTGTTAGAATATCGACTCTTTAAAAAGCTTTGCTTGAAAATATATGCAAGAAGGAACATACCTACAAGACTAAAATTCTCCTCCAGCAAACTTCTGTGTGAGGTAAACCAAGCATTTGCTAGTTTGTTATTCTTGCTTTTCCCTGCAAAAAAGTTCAATGAGTAAACCACCAACCCAGCAATCATCAGCATCTCCAGATAGAAGCTGTCCCAATTGGTTCGAAAATGCAATGGAACCTGCAAAACATAATCGACATGTGAGATCTGAGGTTCTCAAAGTGGTAACTATGAAGGCTACTATCTTCATAATCCAAATTTTGTACTCTGGCTTCACTTTCATGAATCCTAGCAAACCCAATTTCTGTGGAAGAATGTGACTCTGCTGTCAGATCTTAATCAACTCTTGACATCACTGCTGATCAATGTTTTCTCAAGGCAGACAGGGCTGCGTGATGATATTAGGGATCGTTAATCCATAGTTAAAATAAATTTATTCATTACATGAAAAAATTATGTTAATTACAATTAAAATATAGTAAAATCTCTATATAGCAAAATATGTGAGTCATGAACATTTTTAATTACTTTCATAGAGACTGCAAGCTGCATAGTACTGTATGCTGAGATAAATGATCTGTAGTACAGGGAGGTCACTGGGCCTTGTTTCATCTAACACTGTTTTTTAGCCTGCCTGAACTATACAAATTATCTCATGAATTTATCTTTTTACTTCATGAACTGATTCCTGAGTTTATTCTGAGTGGAAAATACTATAACAATACGAGTCCTATTTTCAATGGTTTCAAAGCTATGCATATTTGAAATGTAACTTGACATCAAGAAGTCTGTTATTGAAAAAGTTCAAACACAGAGGTTTCTGGTATACTGCATTCAATTAAACAAAATGTTATTTCGTTAAGAATAGAATGCCATCAAGAATTCCATCATTAGAAACAAAGAAAAAGAGTTGAAAAATAATCTTTAATGTACTGGCACACCAATTAATTTTACACTGCTAGTACACAAAGATTGATGCTAAGAAGTTTTGTAAAAAGCTATATACCGTATTTCTTCACACAGAGTTGCCAGTTTATTTCTCAATTAACACTACTGTAGTAACATGCAAATTATGAAACATGGGATACTTCAACTAATCATCTAACAATTAACACTAATGAGACAGGTAAGAAAAATAGGAAATAAGAACCAGAAACACACCACTGAAAGGAAAACCGACTGATAAGATACTTAGGCCGCACAGAGAGCAAGGAAAATGGCATCCTCATAAAAAATGAAAGACAGAGACATAGTTTCATCACTAGTCTCTACAATCATCTACTGGTAATAGTGTAGTTTTCAAGTTGTACTACACCTTTCCATAACCTTTCATTTTTACAAATACACTTCTGAGAAATGGTGAAGTTATATATCATGACATTTAACTGTATTAACAGACAGCACTCATTAAAATGATAAAGGCCTTGCAAGCTAGAGCTTACATCTGTAATTAAATCCACGGATTAAATCTCTTTTGTCTGTTTTTCTCATACCTTAGTTATGGTAATTTTTGGTGCTTCCTTGTCATCTAACTTGCCACTGCCACCTGCTCGTTCACTGTCAAAGCCCTCAAACTCCTCTTCATCTTGAAAGTGGTCAAATTCACTTTCATCATCCTGAAATATTACACATATACTTCATATCTGCTATCAGTTCTTTAATTCTGGTGCAGTACATCAACTGCCAGCACTTGTAGCATATGAGCACAGTCAAATGAGCACCAACTGAAACTAGGAACTAAAACCTCAACAATTTTTCATCCATTTCAATAGGTTGAGAACAGTCTTATATATGAAACTTTGAAGTTTGCAAGTAAGCAGCATACTGTTCCAGTAATGCAAATGCTCACCTTTAGTTGAGCAATACATGTACAGCCTGCGAAAGAGCTTGCCTAATGCTTGGAGCAGCATCTAACAATTTTTCAACACCTACATCATTCCGGAATTGCAATTGCTGATATTTTTTGACAGTTGAGTATTTTGGGTTATAATTTTTGACAAATATGTTGCTGTTATTTCCCATATCAGAAATTTATATTGCTGCTTGTAGGATTACTGTTTTAAATCAGCTACTTGGCAACAATGTTGAACACAAATGAGATGACAGTCTCATAAACAAGGTAAACAAAATGTATACAAAAGTATGCAGTCTACACAACAGTATTTTGTATTTCAAACAAAGTAGACACTATTGTATCAACATAAACATCATCAATAAAAATATATGTTGATACTATAGTGTCTACTTGTCCTAAATACAGAATACTGTTGTGTAGACTGCATACTTTTGTATACATTTTGTGTACCTTGTGAGATGACAGTCTTTCCAACTAACAAAAAAGACGGTCATTCTCAGTGACATCTGTGTTTATAGTGAGAGTAAAATATTTCTTTTGATGCTACATAGTTTTAATACTGAAAGTGTTGTTAAATAATCAACTTAGAAAAATATTTCCTGCTTTTCTTGACAATTTGTTACCACACTTTAATCAACGGAAATTCTGTCTTAGGCCATGAAAAACAAGAAAATAGAAAGTGGTTTTGCTACATAAAACTTGTCATGAAAATATGTGGTGCAGTACCAGAGGCACTTATAATGTATATAATCATGTATCATACAATACAATGAAGATCTACATACAAAGAATGATAAATAACACTACTACAGAGGCTGGATGAAGAACCTACAGTCAAAGGGGCATACATGATAACTACACCAACATACCTGGGAACTACACGATAACAAACAAACATCCATGTCGTTGCGCAAATAAATCCAAACAAGGAGACCTTAAACCATGTCATTTGGATGGATGGATGACGCCCCCATGCAAAATATTGAAATTTTAACTAAATTCTGACTAGTTTTTATTGATTTTAATTAAAGTCCATTTATTTTAAGTCATGAGACATTGCATTCACATGTGATATGAGAAATTGGACATTCCATACAGTGTAACAATTTTAGCGAATTAGACACACCTGATGATGGCCATGTATGGCTGAAACATGCGAGAAGGGGGATAATAATAAGTTGCAGTATAGACGGAAATATATTGTCTGAAATAAATAATACAATGAAGATAAAAAACCTACAAATATGTGACCCGGGATCAAACTCAGAGCCCTCTGAATGAGAGTCCAGTGTATTATGTCAAGACTACCACATCCTGTGAGTACCAACAGGCAAAAAAAAAAAAACTATTATTGCACTTCAAATCTTTCCCTGTAAAATACTGTGGCATGATGCCTGAAAGCCTCAATAGTGGAGGCAGAGCTAGGCGCCCATTGCTAGGCAATGGCTCAGTAATCATGTTTCCACAGCAATATGACTGAAGAAGCAATGCATTGCATACAGATTCATGTCGATTCCTAGGCAACACATACAGAAATGTTCTCCATTCACTCAACAACAAAATTCCAAAGCATAGTAACAGAAAAGAATGCAATGGAGATCATCTCCATACAGTTCAACCAGAACCTACCTCAGGGAGAGAACTGACCAACAGAAGACAGACCAGACAGAAGTCAGAAGTGAAGTCTTTATTTTATGTGGCGTAGTTACAGTAACGTTTAGACTGTCAATGTTTGTAGTTACGAAGTGTTATAGTTACAGTAAAATTGTGTTACAACCAACTGTACTTCTGCCTGGTGAATAACCAATAAATCGCTTCATCTAATCTGGAACCCATTAATTACTTGTCACATTACCGGGAAACGTGACAATATAATACCACCTTTATTTCCATTATGTTTAAAAATATTTCTTCATAGAACTGTTCCTTCAAACATACTACATTTGTTATCAAGTTTAACTAATTAACAAACTTCACTGGGCAGTTGTTTTGAGAAGCTCAAAGCCACTGAGCTGATCAAGATTTACTTATTTCTGCTTTAGACACTTTCACTTGGTATGAGTATACACTATCAAATGATGGGATGATGAGTGAATAATCAACAGGAAATTACAAGAAAGGAAGTGGTCATGGCATAATTTAATGTACTAACGTGGCATGGGGGCTGAAGGAAACCACAAGAACCTCAGTCAGGATACCTAGCTTTTGGACTGAGATTCGAACCTACAACTGTTAAATGTGAAGTGGGAGTGCTGGCTTCTCAACTACAATGTTTGGTGGTTGTTCAAGAAATTTCCCATTTTTAGGAACACAAATGTCCATAATTGTTCCTCCAAGGGCCCATGCTCAAGTTAATCACATCTAATTATTCCCAAAATTTTTATTTGGAGGCCAACCTAACTAGTCTCATTATTATTACACACCTCAACAACATCTTCATCTTCTTCCTCATCCTCCTCTTCATCTAACTCCTGAACATCTGCACCTTTCCTTCCCTTCTGTGCCTGTGCTTGTTGCTCATCTGCTTCTTTTGGTACAGAATCTTCTTCATCCTCTTCAAAGTCTTCAAACTCAGCAAACTCATTATCCTCCAAATCCTCTCTGTAGTGAGATGAGGCCCAGATTTGTGTACCAACAAGTACAATATGCAGCACAACAAGAGCCAGCCTTATTGTCATCTGTCCTTCATAAGAGAAAGCTTATTTTTAAATGTAAGTCACAAATTAATTCCAAAATAACAATCAGTTCTATACTACAGTAAAGGAGGACACAAAAATACAGTCAAATCATGGCAGACCCACACCATTTTATGTTCAGTGGGAGTAACTGACTGCAAAGATGGAGCTTAATCCTTATGACAATGAATCCATTATGATCTCTTTAACATATATTTATAAAAATAACTTTATGAATACAGTATGTACACTGCTTCAGCTTAGTGTGTGTGTTCAATGTAGTACAGAAGCAGATTGTGTGGTGACCATAGTTCTATTTACTTAATTATTTATTTATAATAATTTACATGCCAATGCTATCAGCAGTTCAGACTACGAGCATATAGCTGTGAATGCTAGAATTATTAATGAATAATGAATTCTAAAGGATGTAGAAGGGAGCAGTTATGGCCTAATTTATGGTACTATCCTGGCATTTGCTGAGGATCTGGAGAAAACTGAAGAAACTCAATCAGGATAACTGGTCTCCAGAACAAGACCTGAACATGAACCTCCTGAATAAGAAACAGAGGTGCTACCTCTTTGTTATTTTTGTTACTTCCACGTGGATCGAATGATAAGTGAGAATCAGTGTTCACTCTACTCCTGCTTTATTAAGACACTGATATTTGATACAGAAGTACGCCTTATATATACATACAGGCTTATAACCATAGTAACACGTAACAATATAAAGATACTGTTGTTACACATAACAGTAAACATCACTTAGGTAACAAGACATAACCTAGTTCTTAAATTGTTTACTATGATGTTGCCAACTCTAACATTATATTTCAGTATTTGAGAGTTGCCAACATAACACTCTTCACCACGATGTTCAGTACCAGGGTTTTGATTCAGTGATGGCCATCATGCAGTACTCTAACATATTCTCATAAATCTTGGTGTAAAAGCATGGCCAAGACCAAACTAATATCTCAAAACATGAATTTAAATCCATATGACAAGTTGCTGACAACAGCCAATACATTTATGGACCAACACTGGTAGATACCTCCTCCAACTCAATGGAAAATTTGTTGTGATTTAGGTGATATGCGAAGGGATGTGTCTCAGAAGGAATGTTGCATGGGTCACAACACATGCTACCAATACTTATTGCATTGATGTCTCATTATATCAACACATTCAGGTTCGGAGTTTACTCAGTTAATGTGGCAATTGTGCTCACCGTCAAAGAGTTTTACTGTTTCCCTTGTTTTCTGTTCTGACAGTTTCATTTTTTTTTCTTTTACATGTTATTTAATAATGCTTTCCAGCATCAAGACTAAACACCATAGGATTTTCTCTGTTGTTCAGTTACTAATAATATAACTGGTGCCAAGAAAACTTATTACACACAATCACCACCATCATCAATGGCATGTCAGCCCTGTGGGGGCTGGGCTCTGGCTCTCTTCAGAATTGCTCGCCGTCCTTCTCTATTCGATGCCACACTCCTCCATTTTCTTATGCCCAAAATTCTAACATCCTGCCACACAAATTCTTTCCATCTCAATCTTGGTCTTCCCACTTTCCTAGTTCCTTCTCCTTTCAAAGATACTTAACAGTCTTTCATCCAGTCATGACAATGGCCAGGTTTCAGAGGCATATGACAGCAACGGTCTTACAGGTTGAAGAAAGTCGTCTTCTGGGTTTTGGCGCCGTGTATTCTTTGTTTTGGCCGACGTTTCAGAGGAACGTATCACCTCCATCTTCAGAGCAGGTGAATGGCTTGTGAATGCAGAAAGCAGTAGCTGGTTACTTACTTACTTACAGGTTGTTTGTGCATCATAATTTTGGTTTTCCTGGGTATTAACTGAGACTTCAGGTGTTTCCTAAGGCCATGGAGACATCTATTTGCTGAGAGTACACATTTTATTTCATCACTGATGTCACTTTTACAATTAACCTCTGATCCAAGGCAAGTCAAACGATGTACAAACTCAAACTCATATGAACTAATTTCTATATGTGCAGATCAATTAGTGCAGTCTTCCTAAGTTACTTGCTTGTAAGCAGCCTCCACAGTCTAGAGGTAACGTTCCCACCTCATGACTCGTGGTACGCGGGTTCAAATACCCAGCGGAGGTCGAAATTTTAAGGGCGGAAAAATTCAGGGAACAAGTCCTCTGGGAGGGACTTTAAGCTGTGTGTCCCGTGTCGTAAGTTTACGGCACGTAAAAGAACCTCATATCCCCAAAGGGGATCACTGAGCCAAATTCCAGGATGTTTCCCGCACAATAGCCTCTAAGGCCTCTTGATAGATGGGGGAAGCATTATAGACACCGCTAAGCAAGTGGCCGAACTCGCTTGCTCGGCGGGACTGATGGTACGCACCATTTATCGGTAGGTTAAAGAGACTGGTAGAATATCATAGAGGGAAGCACAATAGATCAAACTGGTCGCAGTGCATGGGGAAACCCACCCTCTCTAAATAACTAACTAACTAACTAACTACTTGCTTGTATTTTTTTAGATTTTGATTAATTTGCAGATGCCTCTTTTTGCTGCCCTTTCCAAATTAATAAAATCTCTTTTTATAGCTCTTTCTGTTCTTCCAATTACACCAATGTCATCTGCAAACGCCAAAATTTGAACTGACTTACAAAAGACAGTTCCTCTAACGTTAATGCCTGCATCTCTAATTACCTTCTTTACCGCTATGTTAAACAGAAGGCAGGCTAGGGCAACATTATACAGTGATACTAATTAACCCACAAAACAGCATTACTCATGCTTTCAAAATTGAAGGAGAGAAAATATTAAGCTAAAATATATTACAAACATGAAACTGATACAAACAAATATAGCTGGGTTAGCATTAACTTAAAAGCAGTGAGTGAAATTAGTGGCTATATTTTAGAATGGATCAGTTCTGTGAAACCTGAAGAATGGGCTTTGGGTCCCTCAGTACATAAAATTAACTGTACTCAAAACTAAGATACTAGCAGGAACCAATATGAAGTGCAGACAGAACAGACAAAACATTGCACTTCCCCTTATATAAACTGTAATCTAACAAAACCAAACCAAACCTTAAGTGATATATTTCATGTCGTGACTAATGTTCCTAGTCAAATTCACTACCAGCAGTATTGAACATTCAAAAGAAAGCGTAGTCAATTTGATCTGATACGTCAATCTCATCAGCTAAGATGTAATATATATACAGTACTATGGATATAGTTCAGATATTTGGGAACAACTATAACAAATCATAACCTGATTCAGGGGGAAATTAAGAGGCGAGTGAGTCCGGGTAATGCTTGCTACCATTCAGTCCAGAACCTTTTGTCTTCTTGTATGCTGTCTAGACATAAAAATTAGAATATACAACTATAATTTTGCCAGTGGTACTGTGTGGGCGTGAAACCTGGACTCTGACTTTAAGGGAGGAACACAGACTGAAGATGTTTACAGAACAGGATGCTAAGGAGAATATTTTGGCCAACGAGAGATGAACTGACATGAGGCTGGAGAGAACTGCATAATGAGAAGCTACATAACTTGTACTCTTCTCCAAATATAATCAGAATGATCAAGTCAAGGAGGATGAGATGAGCAGGGCATGTAGCATGAATGGAGAAGAGGAATGCATATAGGATATTGGTGGGAAATCCAGAAGAAACCACTACAAAGACCAAGGCGTTGGTTGATGGGCAATATTAAAATGGATCTTAGAGAGGATGGGATGGATTGGAATTATCTGGCTCAATATATGGACAAGTAGATGGCTCTTGTGAACACAGTATTGAACCTTCGGGTTCCATAAAATTCTGGGATGTTCTCGAGTGGATTGGTGGCTTCTCAAGAAGGGCTCAGCTATATGAGTGACTATGGATACGTAATTGTAATCCCTTGCCTTCAAATACAGCAGTGTCATACTAGCAGCAGTCTCCACGTTAAAAAAAAAAAAAGATTTACTGTATAAAATACTGAAAAGTACATATGGTGCAGTTATGGTAAATGGTAAAAGATGAGATTTCTTACTCTATTTTCCAAATGAAAAGAGTCAACTCACTCACAATCTTTCACACCTATTGAAAACTCCAGATTACAGAAAATAAAACTTCTAACCGCTTCCCACTGCTTTCCTAGCAACAGACTACACACATACCCTGCCAACTCAATATCATTTGCGGGCGACATATCCTCTTGCCGCCATCTATACGCAGCAACGAACCTATGGATACAATATGGCCGCCGCCAGTGCCAACAGCACGATCGGTAAAAACGTATGCTATAATGGATCCGAACTAGACGCGTTCCAACATATGTGCAGGTTCAAATAGTCCACAAGAATGGCAATAAATATATTTCGGGAATACTGAAGCACAGAACAGTCTCACACTGGGGATTTACATACAAGAAACATATTCTGACCTTTACATTTACATTTATTTTCATTTCATGGATCCAATAATCTCCCCGTAGGGCTGGATATAAAACATGTCACATATTACAAATTCATGATGACTACACATCATTCGTCCTTTGTCCAATAAAATATATAATCAGGCCTCTCACTGATAGCTCAAGTTGTCAGGACAACACACATGGGTCGTGGAAAAACCACAGTCAAATTCACACCTTGCCATTCCACACGCACGCACGCACACACACACTCTGGCAAGCTGTATCATTAAAACAGCTATAATTCATAACAAAAACAGAGATCATACATACTACTACACTTACAACAAGCAAGTCTCAACAATATATAATTCACATACAAAGACCATTTATTAACTCTTAACTTTTGAGCCCCTTGCATGCTCGACAAATTCATCAATAGAGTAAAATACGTTACTTTGCAAATAATTTTGTAAAACAAACCTAAATTGCTTTTTATCATTTTTTTAAAACTGTGATATTTGACGGCAGAGTGTTAAATAGCTTGACGCCTGTATAATACACCCCTCTTTGATAGGATGATAAATGTGTTGAAGGTATATGAAGGTGGTCATTCCTTCTGGTACCAATCACATATACAGAGCTACTGATTTGAAACTTATCCAAATTATTAACAACAAATGTCATCAATGAAAGCAAATATACACATGGGATTGGTAATATGTCAAGCTTTTTAAATAGATCTCTACATGTATGAGTTGTGCCCACTCCCATCATTATTTTTATTATGGTCTTTTGTATAACAAAGACCTTATGACTGTCTGATGTATTTCCCCAATATATTATTCCATATTTTACCAATGAATGATAATATGCATAATATACAGCTTTAAGACTATTTATATTTAATATATAGGATAATTTTCGCATTAGAAAACCAACTGTGCTCAACTTGTGAAGCAAAAAATCGATATGTCCCTTACAAGTCAGATGACTGTCCAGTTGCAAACCAAGAAATTTTATCGTTTCTACTTCTTTCAGCTATTTGTTAAAAAACAATGTATATAGAGGGTAGCTCATAGCTGCTGTTGGGGTGAATTTTATCATTTTTGTTTTATCCAGATTTAACACTAATTGATTATTTTGAAACCACGTAAACATGTGATTAAAAACATCCAATTTTATTTTTAAATTTTATGGAACCTGAAGGTTCATTACATGTTCACAAGAGCCCTCCACTGGTCACTATCCTGAGCCAGATTAATCCAATCTATACCATCCCATCCTATACCTCTAAGATTCATTTTAACATTGCCCACCCACCTATATCTTGGTCTTCCCAGTGGTCCCCTTCCTTCCAGCTTTCCCACCAATATCTTATATGCATTCCTCATCTCTCCCTTCATGCTACATGCCCTGCCCATCCAATCCTCCTTAACTTGATCATTCTAATTATACTTGGAGAAGAGTACAAGTTATGAAGCTCCCTGTTATGCTTCTTCAACTTCTTGTCACTGCAGAAACACTAACAGGTGACAATGACAACAAAGAGAAACCTACTTACTTAACAAAAGTAATGTTGCTCCCATGATTGCTTAACAGTTATGCCATTAAGATGTGTGAGAGACTGCAGTCCTGACCTTGGCATTAGACAAAGGTGAGCAGTCAACTTCATGCCCTGGCTGCTTTACCACCAAGGAAAGGGCCTGATACGCTCTGGAGAGGAGGCGAGACATACCTCAGAGCCACTCCAGATGCAGTTGTCGCTGGTCATTTAGCCCACAGTATAGTTAGTTACTGTCTGAGCTGGTACAGCTCTCATGAGGAACCTTTAGAGCTAGAAGTATTAAATTAAACATCTGTATATGATATATTTGTTTCACTGATTAAATAAGTAAGCCACCTGTTAAATGGAGTACGAGGGGGTACCCAAAAGAAACCGAGCTTATTTTTTAAACTTATTTATTCAAATCTTAAGCACAAACCTTCAATCCTCTTGAAAGTACTCTCCACTTACACTAATACACTTGTCTAGTCTTTTATTCCATTTTTCAAAACATTGTCTAAATTCATCTTTTGAGATGCTTGACAGCGCCTCCGTCGTTTTTTCCTTCACCTCAGCAACATCAGCAAAACGTTTTCCTTTCATGTCTCTTTTCATTCGAGGAAACAAAAAAAAGTCGCACGGGGCAAGGTCGGGTGAGTATGGAGGGTGAGGAACAGGGGTCATACCATTTTTGGTCAAGAATTGTCATACAGACAGGGCTGTGTGAGCAGGGGCATTGTCATGATGGAAAAACCAGTCACCCGACTGCCACAAATCTGGCCGCTTCCGCCGCAAACTGTTGCGCAATTTTTTCAAAACTTCCAAGTAGAAAGCCTGGTTAACTGTCTGACCCTGCGGAACAAACTCTGAATGGACGACTCCTCTCACATCGAAAAAACAAATCAGCATTGTTTTCATGTTTGATTTCACCTGACGAGCTTTCTTGGGGCGAGGTGAACTTGAAGTCTTCCACTGGCTTGATTGTTGCTTTGATTCAGGATCGTAAGCATAGCACCAGGTTTTGTCACCAGTGATAATTTTTTAAAAAAAGTTTTGATCATTTCGGGACTCTTCTTTCAAAGCACAGCATGCTTCCACGCGACCTTGTTTTTGTTCAGCAGTCAGCAGTCATGGCACGAATTTCGCAGCCACCCTTTTCATTCCCAAATCTTCTGTCAAAATTCGCTGCACTGAGCTCCAAGTCACTCCCGACAGCTCCACAATTTCTTCAATGGTCCGTTGTCAATCTTCTTTGATGATTTCACGAATTTTTTCAACATTTTCATGTGTTCGGGCCGTGGAAGGACGACCAGAATGAGGTCTGTCATCAATTGACATTTCACCATTTTTGAAACGGGAAAACCACTCAACACTTAAGTTTTCCCCATAGCATCGTCCTTGTACGCCGTTTTTAACATTTCAAGAGTTTCTGTTCCACTTTTCCTGAGCAAAAAGGAGAATTTCACCACTGCACGCTGTTCACGAAAATCAGCCATTGCAAAAACGACGATCACACAAAACAGTTGTCACTATAAACTCTGCCGAAACTAGTCCTTACCTTCTGAAGCAACGGTAGTCGGCTTATTGACTCAGGAATGTTAGCTCTATGCACTCACAGCAGCAAAACGCGATACTACAAAAGCTCTGCCCACAAAAAAATTAGTTCGGTTTCTTTTGGGTACCCCATCGTATATGTATTTAAGATCAGGTTTAATAATTGAGTACAATCAACAGACTACTCATGCCAGTGTGACTGACACTAACATTTAGTTGGAAACCTGGCGTCAGTGAGTACGAGTGTTTCAGGAAAGTACTGTTTCTGATTGTGATTTGCATGTCCAGAGTCTTTATGACTTTCAGACACTCATTAAATTTAGGAAGCAGGATAAAGTTCATAGAATTATAACACAATAAGTATAATAGATGATTAGTAATGGAATGCACTGTTGGGTCAAGGATTCCTGCCCAGATATTGCTATTTGTGTGAGCATATTATCAGAATGTTGGATTCATATCAACTGCTACCCTGCAGACTTCTCTGCCCCACATGTCACATAGTTACAAATTAGCCTCTCTGACTACCACATCACATTCCTCATCCACATCTCACTGTCATATGCATGAACCATTACAAGCAGTTCTGGTGTTGGTTACCTTTGACTGACATACAACTGCATTGGAATCAGTAAAACCAGTTTTATATATGATTGCCTCCTAGCACTGTCACCTTGTACCACACTACATGCGCTCGTTTCACAGCATCATGAAAAATTTCATGGTCACAAAGTGCTCTTGCATTCCTTAAAATTTGTATGTCTGACATAAGCTCTCAGAAGCCACCATTTTAGGTTTCTTTTGCAGGTAGTGGATTTGAACACTAAACTGAGGAAAATGGAGGCAACTTAACGAGATTTTTGACTTGGGATGACTGAAACTGAAATGAAATGAAGGAAAACCTTATACAGAGGAATATTAAATGGGACTCCATTGTACTGCTATGTAAACAGTTCAGCCAAGACAATGAAAGAATGAAACTGAAACTGGGGGACACATGCAAAAACAAAAACAAAACAAAAACAAAACTCCGTGGCCTGTAGTCCGCAAGCGAACTATACCAACCAAGCAACTGCCGTTTGTTGAAGTTAGTGCCAACTTTAGCGGATAGAGGATGTCATATGGTCAGTGCAACAGATCCCCGAGGCCATTAATCTCGGTTTTCTAGACTGAAACAGCTATTTCCTTGAAACAGCTCCTCAATTATCCTCACAAGGCTCAGTGGACCCCGTTTCAGACCCACTACTTCTCAGAAAATCTGGTAGCACCAGGAATCTAACCTGGGGAACTCTGACCACTAGACCACAGAGACGGTCTGGGGGTCAGATGCAGACTTACAAAATGGTGCCTGCAACCTTTTAATGTAAAGTTACATGACATTATTCAATTCTCTTAAAAAAAAAACTTTTGCTGTGGCTTATCCTATTACATTACCACACACAATTCTGCACATTCACCAGAAAAGGTGCAAATATAAACCATACTCTGGCTTCAACCACTTTTCTTTTCTGACTAACTATACTGTAAATCCAGTTAACAGTTCTGGTAATAGGACATTTAAAATGATCAGATGGTATAGGTGTAATGTTACAGTCAAGGACAGCACAGCTCAGTCAGTTAGTGACGGGATATGGCCAGGGTCTGATTCCTGGAAGGGG